CAAACTGCTGAATGAATCACTGGCACTGCCCTTCCTACACTTCAAGAAACGTACTCTTCCAGAGTGAGTAAAAGGGCTCGCAAAATCATTCTGGACGCCTCGCACCCAGCACACTACCTTTTCGGACTGTTACCGTCTGGTCGACGCTTCAGAGCACGAAGCACAAAAACAGCCAGACACAGGAAAAGTTTCTTTCCTCAGGCCATCAACCTCATCACCGTCTTAAGAACTTTTAGATATTTAGACTAGAAACAAGACAAAAAAATCTAAGTAAGAAAAGCCTTTTTTTTGCAGTGTAAACATCAAGTCTATAACATTCAGAATCAGTTTGATTTAGTTGTCATTCATGCACAGTTTGTTAAACCCTGCCCAACTGCTGTTACTGTTGAATTAAACTGTATTAAAATAAAAAAATACAAATAAATAAATAACATACATAAAATCAAAATGCATAAATAAAAGATATTTAACTAATTGAAATTAAATGTATAGCTTAAAATATTGTGTTTTTAAATCAGGAGTGTCCAAACTCGGTCCTGGAGGGTTTACCTCCAACTTCAACACACCTGCCAGGAAGTTTCTAGTATATCTACACGGCAAAAAAAAGCTTTTCGTACTTAGATTTTCTGTCATTTCTAGTCCAAATATCTAAAAATTCTTATATCAAGAAACACTTTATAGGTATGCAAAACATAATGTCTTGTTTTGAGAAATAATATGCCAAAATTAAATGAGTTTTTCCTTAAAACAAGCAAACAAATCCGCCAATGGGGTAAGCAAAATATTCTTGTTTTTCCTTTTGACATGAGATTATTTTGCTTGTTTTAAGGAAAAACTCTCTTTATTTTGGCATATTATTTCTTAAAACAAGACAATATGTTTTGCTTTTCTTCTTGATTTAGGAATTTTTTTATATTTGGACTAGAAAAAAGATTTTTTTAAAAGCTAAGTAAGAAAAGCATTTTATTTTTTGCAGTGTAAGAGCTTGATTATCTGGTTCAGGTGTGTTTGTTTAGAGTTGGAGCTAAACTCTTCAGGACACTGGCCCTCCAGGATCGAGTTTGGACACCCCCGTTTTAAATAAAATGAAGGTAAATATGAAAGAACAAAAGTAAAACTTGATATAAACTTGAGATAATATAAACTAGATATGGGGAAGGTTATAAAATTGCAAATTTTAAAAATAATTAATACATTTTAAAAATAATTAATACAATTCACAGTATGTATGGATGTTAAAACATCTGCACAGTTATTAGCCTAAAGACTCCAAAAAACATCAAAATATTGGCTCAATTTAAAGCAATTGACTTCTTCCGAGCATCACTTTATATATACAGTTGAAGTCAGAATTATTAGCCCTCCTGAATTATTAGCCCCCTGTCAATTTTTTATGGAGAGATGTTTTTTTCAACACTTTTCTAATCATAAAAGTTTAAATAACTCATTTCTAATAACTGATTTGTCTTTGTCTTGATGATGGTGCATTATATTAGACTAGATATTTTTCAAGATACTAATATTCAGCTTAAAGTGACATGTAAAGGCTTAACTTATTTATTAATTAATATTATAAATTAGGCAGGTTAGGGGAATTAGGCAAATCATTGTATCATGTTGGTTTGTTCATTAGACTATTAGAAATAAATATTGCTTAAGGGGGCTAATAATATTCAGCCCAAAAAAGTAAAAAAAAAATAAAAAATGCTTTTATTCAAGCTGAAATAAAACAAATAAGACTTTCTCCACAAGAAAAAACATTATAGGAAATACTGTGAACATTTCCTTGCTCTGATAAACATCATTTGGGAAATATTTGAAAAAGAAAATTCACATAAGGGAAATAATTCAGACTGAACTGTGTATTTGTCTGAACTAACACAATATCAGCTTGACGCAGCGTCTACTTCTCACCTTACACTCTTGCGTGGCCTCTTCAACCGAGCTGCACTCGTGCTCATCATGCTCTTCAGCCTGGCACTGACCACAGATCAGCTCCTCGTCCTCCATGCAGAACAGACTGAGTCTCTCTCTGTGCCGTAAACACAGATCTCCATCCTCCTCCACCGCTGCTTCTCCAGCCTCCACCCGCCGCCGCTGCCCCTCAAACAGAGAGTCCAGAAGCCCCTTCAACACGCTGTCCAGCAGCTCACGGCCATAACACTCCGTACAGCCTGGCCTGTCCTGCCCAAACTCACTCTGGCACAACTCCAGGCAGGACGAGCACAGGCGGTGTCCGCACGGCAGAAGCAGAGAGTCTTCGTTCTGACAGCCGGGACATACGGCTGGAGCTGGCTGCTGGTCGGACATTATGCTTTTCTGTCTTCTAAATGTCCTTCTGCTGCTGGTCCGCAGCTCTCCGGGTCTTGCACAATCACTATCAAAGGGAAATCCCCGGTTGGTGGGCTATTTATAAGCGGGTTATTTTGAAGCGAGCGCTCTGGGGTGTTTATATGTGTGTGTGGGGAGTCGTTTAGTGCTGATCGCTGGGCAAGAGTGTGTTGCTGAGTCACTATAGTGTGTGTGTGTGTTTGATCGTGATTAAAGCGTACCGTGATAGCACTTTGCCTAAAATCAAATCACTTACAGTTAAATTCAGAATTATTAGCCCCCCTGAATTATTAGCCGCCCTGTTTATTTTTTCCCCAATTTCTGTTTCAAGAGTTCACTCTTAGCTGATGATTGATTATAAAGCTTGTTTGGCATGCTGTCCCGGGAGAGAGCCCTGAGCTCAAAAGATCCTCGAGCCCGAGGCTTCGACAAGGCGGGAGGGGAGTTTGAGCTCCGGTAGATCTCGAGAACTCCCCTGCTGTAATAACCAATGAACAGTAAGTGATTGCTCTTGGGAGATAACGACATACTAGGAGCATGTCTATGGTGCTGATTTGGGTTAGTCAATTAACTTAAGTTGCAAGTTTTTGTACGGTGGGAGGAAACCGGGGAACCCGAGGGAAACCCATGTGAGCACAGGGAGAATGTGCAAACTCCGCACAGAAACATCTGCTGGTTTGGTCAAGCCTGGAACCAGAGACGTTCTTGCTGGAAAGCACTGGGCCACCGTGTCACCCATCTAGAAAGGAGGAGGAGTAGGGGTGGGAGGGGGGATTCTTCAAAACGAAGATATCAGTGGAATGTAACCCAGGGTATTTGTAGTAGTTTAGGAGGGGTCTGATTGGCGCATCGTGAATTGGATAATGCGGATCCAGCCGCTAGCAATCAAAAGCATGTGATCCTCTCTTAATTAGTTAATAAATAAACTTCTCCTAATGAAGAGATTTTGTCAACACATTTCTAATCATAATAGTTTAATAACAAAATTCTAATAACTGATTTATTTTATCTTTGCCATGATGACAGTAAATAATATTTTATTTTATATATATATATATATATATATATATATATATATATATATATATATATATATATATATATATATGTGTGTATGTATATATATATATATATATATATATATATATATATATATATATATATATAT